CATGCAGCTTATCTAGCTCTCTGTAAGTACATGCAGATCATACAGACATTTTGATAAGTCACTTTCAGGAACAATTGGGTGAGTTTTGAAGAACAAAACCAATTCAGTGAGTTGTATACTTTGAAGAAGTTTTTATCTCTGCTAATTTATCTTTACAGCAGTGCTTTTTTTTCTTTCAGTCCATTTTCTCTTCTTGACCTGAGTTCTCCCAGTATGAGAGCAATGGCAATGATTTTAAACTGCAGATACTTCTTGCCAAAGTGGAGTACTCAGACTTTGGTAAAAAAGAGTAAAACATCCATTCTGAGAACATTAAAAGTCACCACTAATTTCCCATGTAAGTTGATTTCTGATTGTTGTTCACATTGACTATGGAACTGTAGTAGCCAACCTTTGGCGCTGACCACAGAAGGAAAAAGAAAAACTAATACTGTTTTCCTTGGTTGCTCTCCTTTCCTTCACAAAGAAAAATACCTCCAGCAATGAATATTTTTACAAAACTGCTTAAATATGCTAGGAATTATTAATAATGCAATTAAATTGTTTAATATCCATTACAGAAAATCAGCATGAATATTTAACAACTATATTTGTGATATAGGATTTGCAGGTGCAATTTCAGTAACTGATGAATTCAATCATAACCTGGACATTTAGGTAATTTAAATGTGAAGATAATTGGATAATTGCTTTTTCGAGTAAATTAATATTGACAAGAAATTCTTGTGGAGAATAAAATGTAGCTCAGACACTTTTGATGTTCTTGCAAGTGACAGCTCTCTAAAACATCACCAAACCCAATTCTTGAAGAAAACTATGCATCATTCAAGTCAGAGCCTAAAATATGTCGTTTACTTAAGTCTACCATCATATATGACCAGTGGCATAACTAATAGAAGACATCTCTTTTCTGTTGTGGAGATTCAAGAAGCTACCGTTACTGGCTATGCAGCTTTCTGTGAGATCCAGCAACCAGGAGAACCAGAAGGGATTATTTAATTATCTGTTGCCTTTCTACTGACAGAACATTTATTTAGGACAAGCTGGGAGAAAGTAAAGAAAAAGGGAAAAGGCAGTGTATAAAGCATCAAATCTATGAGAACTATTGTCTTTCAGCATCTGTTGACTATAGTATGAATGCAACTAACAGCACATATATATAGCCATATAAATGTATTCATAAATATTGTTTCCTGAAAGTGAGTGTGTAATAAAGAATTGTCTAAGTGATTCTGTTTAAGTCTTGTAAGAAGTGCTAACCATTACGTTTGTAGGGTTTGAAAGCAACATGGTTAACATCTCTAAAACAAACCATTTTAGCAAAAGTGGAAGATTGAATTATCCTAAAAGATCACTTACAGTGATATCACTTTTTTTTTTTTTCCCCTGACTGTTGAATGAATTATCATTTTAGTGGGCTTTACTATGGCTCTTAGTCTGCAGGCCCTAATCATCATACTACATAGACAAAGTTTCTCTTCTCATGGAAGAGTCAATGAAACAGCATTTTTCTTCTCCTCTTGGAGAAAAAAACAATCTTCAAATACCTGTGTTTGTAAGATAGCATGCTGTACACTTTTAAGGACAATAGAAAGAAAAAAGAAAAGTAATTTATTTATAATAGCTTCAAGAAGTGACTCCTGAGTGGAAACATTCTAACCTAGCTACTAGTTAGACATGCTTTTGTGACAGGTGGGAATGTTTTCCCTCATTTAACACCATTGATAAGTGAACAAGAGGTAGAAAATCAGCCCCTTCTTTTATGGTATATTTATTCTTTTTACGGAATGAGGAATTTCCATTTATTTGATTTTACGCTACATTGGTTTTAACTAAGTCAGTGTTGATAGCACACCAATGTTGTGCTTGTTACTAAGTGATGGGAGTGCAGGCAGGGCAGGGCCACAGTGAAGACTTATTGCCATTATAGCATGGCAGCAGGGGATGTGGCAGAGCCAGGACATCTGGTCTGGATTAATAAAGACTTATTTCATACCACGTGACATCATACAGAAAGCAATAAAGTTGCGAGGAGCTGGCTAGGTATGAGCTGCTACCTGGGGATTGATTGGATGTCAGTCAGAGAGAGATGAATGAGTTGTTGCACTGAATCAGAGTATCAGTGAGAGGCCAGTTGTATTGTGAGCTGGGTGTCATTCAGTGGGAAGAAGTTACATTGTGAAGATATGTACATTCTCACATTTTTTTTTCTGCTTTACTTTTATATTTCAGTAAACAGTTTTAATGTCAACTCACAAGCTCTCTGTCACATTTCCAATTCTCTCTCATCTACCTTGGAGGGTGAGAGTAAATAGATATGCGGTGCTGAGCTACCTGCTGGGTACACAACACACCCTTTGCAACAAAATTTTGCAGGTGGATTGCAATTCCAGTGTGCAGAATATCACACAATTTCATCTATGACTACAGTTTTTTGGTATTTTGCAGATAAAATACGAGACAAATCAACCAGCAGCTTTGTGCCAGTCTGATCATAGAATCACTGAGGTTCTAAAAGACTATTAAGATCACCTAGTCCAAAGGTCCACCTACCACCAATGTTGCCCACAAAAACATTATCTCTAATTACTACATCTACCCTTTCCTTAAGAACCTCCAGGGACAGTGACTGCAGTACTTACCTACGAAGCCTGTTCCAATGCCACACTACTCTTTCTGAGAAGAAATTCTTCCTAATATCCAAACTGAACCTTCCCTGGCACAATTTAAAACCTCTTTTCCTGTTGCTAGTTATCTAGGAAAAGAAGAGAATACCCATCTTGTCTAGCTACACCCTCCTTTCAGATAGTTGTAGAGAGCAATACTGTCTCCCTTGAGCCCCATCTCCAGACTAAACAGTCCCATCTCCCTCAGATGCTCCTCATAAGACATGTGCTCCAAGTCCTTCACCAGTTTTGTTGTCCCTTCTCTGAACATGATTCAGGGTCTCAATGTCTGTTTTATAGCGATGGGTCCAAAACTAAACACAGTAATCAAGTTGTGACTTCCTTAGCACTGAGTGCAGAAGGACAGTCAGCTCCCTGGTCTTGTTGGATACCCTATTTTTGATACAAGCCAGGATGCCATTGGCCTTTTTTCTACCGGGCATATTGCTGGCTCATATTAAGATGAGCATCAACCAGCTCCCCCAGAACCCTTTCCTCCAATGTGTTTTCAAGTCTCTCTGCTCCAAGCCTATAGTGTTGTATGGTATTGTTGTACCAAAGTGTAGGACATGACTCTTGGTCTTGTTGAACTTCATCCCATCAACCCAGCCTTTCAAGGTTCCTCTGTAGGGCCTTTTTCCTACCCTCATGCAGATTGACCTGTCCTCTCCAGCTTGGTGTCATCTGCAAACTTACTGAGGTTGCACTCAATTCTCTCATCCAAATCATCAATACAGATATTAAATGGGATGGCTCCCAGTATGGACCAATAAGCAGCACCACTTATGACTGGTTGCCAGCTGGATTTAACTCCATTTACCACCACTTTCTGAGTCCAGCAATCCAGCCAGTTTTTTTACCCAACAATTAGTATGCCTGTTGAAGCAATGAGTTGCCAGCTTCTCCAGGATAATTCTGTGGGAGATGGTGCCAACATCTAGGTGGACCACATCAACAATCTTTCCCTCATCTCTTTCTATGACCAGATGACTTGTCTGATGGATGAAGTTGATCATGCAGAACCTGCATTTCATGAACCCATGTTGACTGGCCCAATATCCTGATTGTCTGGCACATGTTATTTGATCACATTCGAGATTATCTATTCCATAACCTTTCTTGGCACCAAGTCAGGCAGATAGGCCTGTAGTTCTCCAGATCCTCCTTATGATCTTTATTATTGATGGCCATCACATTAGCAAGTTTCCAGTCATCTGGTACCTCAATAATTGACCAGGACTACTGATAAATGGTGGAAAGCAGCTTGACAGTCACTGCCATCAGCTCCCTCAGGTGCATCCCTTCTGTCCCTTCACCATGGACTTTTGACAGTCCAGGTGCACTAGCAGGCCTTTAGCTGTTTCCACCTGAGTCATGGAAGGTTTACTCTGCTCCCCATTCCAGGCTTCCAGGTCAGGAAGCTAAGTACCCCAAGGATAACCGGTCTGACTATTAAAGACAGACATAAAGGCGGCATTGAAAAGGCTGTGTGCATTGGTGTAGAAGAATTTCAGCCAAGATACTGGCCTCACCCTGGCATTGTTAGCCCAGTCCTATCTCAAACAAGATTCATTTTACCCCCATTCCCCTTCATACCTAGTTTAAAGCTCCCCAAGAAATCCTGCTAACTCCTGGGCAAGAATCCATTTTCCTCTTTGAGATGGATGAGACCCATCTACAACTGTAAGGACAGATGCTAAGTAAACTACCCTATGCCCCACAAAAAAAAAAACCCCAAACCATGCAGTGGTACTAGCCCCTCAGTCATGTACTTATCAGATGTGCTTTTCTAGTTTTATCAGTATCCTTCTCTGCCACTGAAGGGATAGATGAGAATACCGCCTGTACCACCACTCCATCAACTACCTACCCCCCAAACCCCCTGAAGTCCCTTTTGATAGCCCTCTAGCTTTTCCCACCACTGCCAGCTTGAACTATAGCTAATGGATAATATGCAGTCTCTACCCCTTAGACACCTAAAATACCATGGATAAGTGTCTCAGTTGGGTATTTGAATCTAGTTTTCATCCCGGTTCATTGATTAGACCAATGTTTTATGCATCCTGTTGTTACTTTCAAACTATTCCACAAACAATAGTTTAGAAACATAACTTTGTTTTTCTAGTCATTTTCAATGGTTTTTAAGGCACAGCATGACAAAAAGCATTTGCATGTTCTAGTAAAAGAGTACTGCCTACTATGATGTATTCCTGACCTGTTGCCACAGATGGAACCATGACTTTTCCATGCAGGTCTTCTGGATGTGCACTACAGGTTAATCACACTTGAGAGAGAGTAACTGTGATAAGATCTTAAGAAAGACCAGTTTCTAGATCTCATTTTATTAAAAATATACCTGTTATTACCAACAATATAAAACCTACTAAGTCTATTTTTTGTGTTTTCAGAGACTGACTTTTTGTTAAGGCTTTGCAGGGATTTATATGCCATTTATTCCAAGTAATGTTTTCTTACAGCTCATAGATGTCATACAGGTATTTTGAGTTCACAGGGTCAACTGACACTGCATCCATTACAAACCATTTTATTAGTAACATTAAGACTGCAGTCTGTTTTACACATTACAGTAAAATGATATTTTATCTAATTTTAGGGAATGAAATTGATGCTAATTAAATTCCCTTTAACTCTGAATCTTTACACATTAAAGAAATCTGAAAAACTCACTATAGATAGAAAAAATCTGCAGTGGCTTTACGATCAAATCATATTTTCATAGCTTTGACTCAGATGTGGTTTTCAGAGCAATTCAGAGATGTCTGTCATTTCATATGTCAAGGACTGATTTATTATAACACATGTAGGGCACTCCAAGAGTAATGCCTTATGTTCATGGAAACTACAACAGATACAAAGAGCTCAATAACACTATTTGATAAATCAAATTCTCAGCTATAACACACTATTTTTCAACATAGTCACCATCATTAGCTCTGTGTTTTCCCCAGCAATGAACAAGAGCCTACATATTATGCTCATAAAATTTTGCACCAGCAGAGCTGAACCACTGTTTCACTGTGTTTCACCACTCACCCCACATTGTGTCAGTATTCACTTTGCAATTTCCATAAATGTACAGCAAGCATCTAGCAGTGTCAGTGGGTGCCATTTTATTTGCATGAAGGAATTCAATTACACATCTTTGCTTCACACATACTTCCATGTCAGGCTCCATTTTGTCACACTGCCCCTCCGCTGTGATCTGTTGCATGGAAAAAATGTTGAACAGAATATTGGTGGCAAGGTTCAGCCTCTACCACCATATCACCAGCATCTGCCTCTGATATCTTAAGCCAACAGAATAAAAAAAGTAAAAAAAGTATTGCTTTTGGAGTAGTCCTAATATTTTTAAAGATAGACAAAGGATAAGGAACACTGGACAGTTCATGAGAAGCTAAACAATGAAGCAAACAGTTGAACACAGTTAAGGTTTGATATGTAGGAAAATGTCAATTTTAGAAAAATTTAGTTCTCAGCTTGAAAACCTAAGCTTGTACCCAGAACTGAAGAGAGCTGTCAGCAGAAAGATTTTGAGTGAATTAGCCTGAGTTGCTATGTTACAAGCACATTTATTCCTATTAACATCACTTACTTTTACATTAATCAGGCAGTCCTGAAATTCCATTCACAGGCTTTTTGTTTGTTTTCCAATTAAACAAACAGTTTCACTGCTCTCAGATATCCATCTGAGACAAATTATTTATGGCTCCAAAATATTCTTGATTATTTTTGAAGAGCAGGGTACCACTGTTTAAAAGGGCTGCTTCAAAGAAAAATAGGGTCATTATAGTCATAGCTAAGATTATTAGCTGAATCAGCATGCAAATCTAATATTTGGAATAGTTGGGCAGTAATCCTTAAGTGCCCACTTGATTATTCCACTTCTTAAAAAATCCTATAATACAATCAGCATGTCTAAATCTGTATTTGAGAGCTTAACATCAGACTCTTCCTTTACAGGGAAAATTGTTAGTGATGTTTTTAATACTACATATATTTTTTTAGATAAGCATTGGTGAACCTAGCCAAATGTCCAACAGCAGAAATGTTACTGTATTACATTATCTGTTTGAGATGCAAGTATGAAAGTTAGTGCATTTAGCGCTCATCTTAGCCAAGTTTCTCCAGTTAGGTAAGTTGCAAAAATATTCAGTTTCATCAGTGAAGGAAAATTTTCACTATTCTTTGGTAATTCTTGCATGACAAAAAAGCAACAACTTTATAAAAGGTAAGGAGACAAAGGAAAAAAATACTGTATCAAATTTACTCTGTGAAACCTGTGAATAGCGATGGAATTTTACTATTCACTTACTGTTTTAAGTTATGTAAAACAGATCTAAAGAAAAAATCAGGCTAAACCATCTAAAGGAGACAAGGGACAGTGTAGTTGATCCTTCAAAATCCTCTGTTTATCCAAATGTGATTTTATTTAATTTTCCAAAAGAGCATAAGGAACCTGATAACAGGTAATGGTGAGAGCCGCTGAATGGAAGATTTTGTGCATCTCCTTTCCTAAATTCACAATCTGCTTTCAGAATTATGGCAGTGGGTAATTCCCCTTAGCAGCTTTCTCTGAAATAGAACTGTTTCAGAGATTGCATGAGCAGACATAAAATAGAGCTGAACTAAACTTAGAAATTGCTGGTAATTGTTTCACTAAAATACAACGTACATTGTTTCTGGGAAAAAACTTCACTTCTTAACATTTTCCTCTCTGGAATCTGTTCTGGGAAGTTGTCTACATGTAGACTATAAAACTGCATATAGATTGAAGAGACTGACAGGTTTACTTTGAGGCCACATCAGCATAATATTTTTTCTTGAAAACATTTAACTATGAATCAAGCCTAAGCAATAATTTGAAAGGACATTTGGATTATAGTTATAGCTAAGTACGTAAACAGATTTATCCCCAAAAGCAGAAGCAAGAGTGCTGGCTATTAGCACAATAATCACATTAGCGATTGCACTTTTAGTCTAAATAACAAGTAATTAACCAGTGATTTTAGAGAATAATGAGAGCTAGTAATCATTTTTTTTAATCAGCAAAATTAGACTAGACTCATTTTAAAACAACATATTAATACAAATAGCTTAATGAATATGTAAAAGATAAAAGTTATGCACAGAACAAGATGTATTCTTTGGCCAAAGATAATTACTGTATCTTGCCTGTTATGCATGAAATTATATACAATAATTCTTTCCTCACTTCTTCTTGTGCATGCATAAACTGTGACAGTATTCTGCTAGTGTCTCCAAAAAACTCAGTTTTGTGTGTGGATTGAAGTATACTTCTGCTTGTTTTTGATTAAGCTCAAGATTTTTTTTTTTATCTGCCTTTGATACATGATCTTTGAGAGGAAATGTCTAAATAATAATAATAAGAAATCATAAAAATCATTTTCACAAGAGTGTAAGAGCAAAGTAGGTATCGTCTTTTCTGCCTAGAATTAAATTAGACATGATGGAAGAAGATGAATTTATGTAGATATTACAGATGTCCTGACCTCATAGTGCCTGGAGGTAATCTTTAAGCATGCTTTTTTTGTTTGTTTTGTTTTCTTTTTTTCGGTGGAATCGTTCTCTTCCTTGAAACTCAAGATGAAACGTGATCAAAACTGGTTATAATGGCTCTATAATATTCACTAGCATTCACATTTTTTTCAGCAGAATCATAAGTGGGACTAAGTGTTATTGAAATGACTGGGCTCAGTATGCAGAAATACAAGCACACAGAGATCAGAAGGTGTGAAGGATTTAAAGTATTTACGTATTACTTACATTAATCAATAATCTTTCATCTCAAAGGACCTCCAATTATTTGTAAATCGATGTTCAGATATATGGAATCATTCTAGTGGTAAGAAATGTGAAAACTTAGCAGATCAAAACTGTGCACCTAGAAGTTAGCAGAGGTAAATGCACCTGTGAGTAAAACATTCTTTTAGGAGTATAATTCCCTGAGCAGATTAGGATTGTTAGTATTGACTCTGTGCAGAAACTGATATTCTCCCAATAGGAGCCACTAATCACAACTGGAGTATAATCATTCAATATACATTAGAAGCAGTGCCTCTCTGACTCAAATTATCGACTCTATTTTTATGTTGTTCAGAATAATATTTCCAATAAGTGCTTTCTAAAAATACACTGTTTATATGCTGTGTATAAGGAACAGTACCTTGAACAAAGAAGCTGGACCAAAATCTTTCTATTTCTCCAATCTTATCTACCTTGGAACTCTAGTGAAATTGGATCCAGTGGCAGAATTCCTGCATTCTTAGTTGGTGATCTGAGCTGCAACATCTCCAACTTGCACAAATGAGAACAGGAAAATTCTGTTCAGCCCTTTGAAAAGAATGCCATGAGTAATGATTAGCTTTCTTAACAGACATGGGGGAAAAGGTTTTGAACAAAAACATAAAGCAATACTCCAAGATTCAATCTGTATATTCTAAGGCAGACCTTCCAGTTTGGGCAGGTCTTCTTCAAACAGGCATAAATTCAGAATCCATTTGTCACTTCCCTCTTATTTACTCCTCAAATCATCTGTTGAGATTGTTCTGAAGTTTCATTACAGGTATATTGTTCTCCTGTGATGTGATCAATTTTAGGGACAATCAGTTTTACCAGATATCTGGAAGGAAGACCAGAATACTGATTCAAAGAGATCTACAGCAACACCCAAGAAAATTACAAATGTTCAGTGCAAACTACAAGAAACCTGCAGAGTGCAGGTCCTGTAACACACCAGGGAGACATCAAAGTGTATAATTTTGTTCTGTACTGATATTTTACTGTAATGCTTCATCTTTGGTGGTCTTGGATAAAGCCTATTTTAAGTAGTTATAGCCATGGTATATTTGAAAGTATAGAGTTATCAGAGTTCTAACTGATTCAATTTTAATTTTACTTTTATACCTTCGGCTGTGTGTAAAGGCTTGTGGGAGTTTAGCACTGCTTAATATAAGATCTGTAATCTCTTAGTTTAATTTGCCATTTTCTTCTTGCCCTGTCGTATTATAAGAGGGAGTTCTGTAGGCAGTTTGTAAGCACAGAGCTAAAGTGAAATGTGGGGAACAGAACTTTCTTAGAGTACTTCAATTAGGCAGCGGAACAAGGTTCCACTTCTTCAAAGGATGTGCTCAGTAAAATTTAAGTAGAATATTGACTACTAAATACACTCCTGCATCAGCTCCAGGTTATAGATAAGTGATTTTAAATATGCTCATAGTAGACTGGGAGCAGTACTTACTGACAGCAGAAGAAGTTACATACAGTCTTGTGTTCATTACCTTGTTATTCAAGGATAAATGTGGTAACATAGGGACTTATACTGTGATGAGTGTGAGAAAGTAGTTTTCATACAGAGAATCTTTTAAGCCTTTGAGAAGAATAAACACTAAAAGGCCAGCTCTTCAGTTTTGTGATTTTTACTGTCAATGGTTTTTAGTATCTATTTTTATAAGCTCACTAGAAGATTCTGTATAAAATTTGAATGGGAAAGTACATATCCTAGTGTTGGTCATGGCCTAATACACGTTTCAGTTTCTATTACCTCATTTCTTAGTAAATAATTTGGGAGCTATGCAATCTGGTGTGATTGCACATTGAGTGTTCTTGTAATTGCATATTTTACAGTCCCTTAAACTTCAGCTGATGATGTGGGGGTTGCCATTCATCAGTTGATATCATCTACCTGTGCAAGCATGTTGCATAGATTAAAGTAATTGCAATCAGTTTAATATCATAGACTAGTTATATACAGGTGCTACAATTAGGAAATATACAAGAAAGTTTAGCTAAGCAAATTATTATACCAAAAAGAAAAGATAAAGGGCTCACCCTTATCCGAGGCTTGCTAGAAAACTCCAAAGGAGGGATCTCCAGAAAGAGATCCTTCCCTACTGGCAGTCAGCTCTTAAATGGGTCTAGGAGAGGTGGAGCCAAGGCCCACCCCTTCCGGCAGCACAGCTGAATTACCTTCACCTGTGCTCCCAGGGCTGACTCATTGCTCGCCTCAGGTGATTAATCAGAGGTTCAGGCCGTGATTCAGCAGCTCCCATACACGTGGTAAGTTAAAGAAGTGAGTCAGGTTTGGACTGAGGACAAAATCCTTCAAATAGTCACGATGAAGATGTTAAAAGAAAAAAAATAGGGATTCTTATCTACAAGGCTTTTCCTTTAATTTTAAGATTTGTGTCCTGCTCCCATCTCC